GTGTCATTAATTATTTAGAACATAAATCGACTGATCTGTGACAAAAGTATGTATTTCTTTAGCACATCCTAAAAAAAAAAATTTCAGACTTACAATGGTGCTTCCTCCTATGGAACAGACCAAGCCACTTGAGTCTCACATCAATATCATCCTTAGTAAGCTTGGATTTATCAATTTCTTCAACTGGGATGTTAGCAAGCTCTTCAATTCCATTCTCCACGAACAACTTCATAGGCTCCTTCTCAATCTTGACTTTCTCCGGAGGATTTATACCTTGTCTGTATTTCTCCTTTAGCACCCAATATCCTTCTCTTTCCTCTACTCTAGGCTCCAGCCTCAGAGCATCAACATCTGCTGCCCCCCCTGATGATGATGCTGGTGGTGCAACAGTCTGAGATGCTGGTGGAGTTGCATGAAGCCTAAAATTCTTAGAGTTTGGCCATGGATTTGGTGCCAAGAATTTAACTGAAAGTGATGCCATTCTTCCAAAACTGCAAGAAATTCTTCAGGGCTGGTGGGATCGGTGGTGGAAATGGTGAAGAGTTGGAAGAAGGAGAGAATGAGGTGAGACCATTTTGTAGAGGATGAATATGTGACAACGGTTTCCAGTGGACTCTTGGTAGCTGCTAAGGGTCGTTTTGGACTCTAGCATAGGTTGTTTACAGCCTGAAACGATGGGCTTCTTGCACCCTTTCCGCTAAGGTTACCGACCAATGGTGATTAATGCACTTTTTTTTTTTTTTTATCCAAAACAGGAGAAGGATGAGACATATAAAAAGTCCCGGGGGGGCGGGGGATTTAATCCGAAACCTCTAATTTTTTAAATTTTAATTTTAATCATTAGATTAAGGTTTCACTAGTAATAAATGTATATTTAAAGGTGTTTACATTAAATAAATATAATACATTTGTAGGAATTTATCTTACATTTGCACGGTAAATGTATATAAAGGATTAAGTAAAATAGGTTTAGATTAGTGGGTAGTCATTTAGATAAGTTCTTAATTATTTAATGGAAAATGATAGTGTTAAATGGTAGAAGGTGAGGACTGAGGAAGGAATAACTGGACGAGTTTAAATAATGCAAGTTGTAAATTGAATGGTAGTGGTTTAGTGTACAGTTGTCGAGATAATACAGTTCCTTTAAAGTATATGATGAATTATTAAAAAAAAAAAAAAAAAAAAAGTATATGATGAATTAACTAACATCAAATCATGATTTGTTAGGGGAAAGAGTAGGTTTGTTAGCAAGATGATTAGGCGTAGCTCCAGAAACCACAAGCTATTTCTAACATCATGTTCAATTGATTAAGATAAGACCAAGATTATCAAACTTTTCTCAGTTATGTGATACTTTTACAGAAATCTGTCTCATTATTATAGATTATCAAGTCCACAAGTGTAATTCCTTTTACCACACGCAAAAAAAAAAAAGAAAAAGAAAAAATTTGGAGACAATTACCCAAGTTGATTTTTATTTTAAGCTTGTACTTCTAACTTTTAATTAGAAAAACAAATCAAAAAGCTACCCATGTACTTCTCTTTCTTCTCATACGTAGGCAAAAATGGGTTTTGTTTCACTCTATTCGAGTTAACAGTTTGGATAGAAGATTATTTGAGAATATATATTTTTTGAAATACTACAGTATTGGAACACATTTTATAATATAACGTATATGAAATAGAAAAGTAGTTAAAAAGACAAAACGGTAAAGAAAATGTATTTATGTTGTAAGTACAAAAAATTTTTCCAATAAAAAGCTATCCAAACGCTCCCATAATATTATTCAAATTCTTTACTTTTGTTTTTATTTTTAATATATTGAGACCATTTTACTTATGCAATCATCAAGGATATAACAAAAAAATTTAAAATGTGATTGTCAGATAGTACTCCAACTTCAGCCTTATATATTGTGTATATAGATTTTTTTTTGGTACACAAGAGGTGCAACATTGTAAGTAATTCAATTAAGGGAAGTTGCTAAAGTAATCTTTCACAGTTTGAGAGCATTTTAATTTAGTTCCCAATATATAAAAAAAAAAATTATTTTCATTGTTGACAAAAAATTAAAACAAAGTGGTCCATATTTCATTTCTAGTTGTTTTGTTCATATATACACACACATTATATATTTCGAAAACGTTTCTATTATTTTAGCCACTTAGGGGATCAAATTAAGGTCCATTTTTTTTTTTAATGAAGTACCTCAAATTTTGGAAACTATGGTCCCTTTTCTCGAAGTCGATCGAGCAATAATTAGAGCATAGTGTAAAGTTATAAGCAAGTAGCTTAGTTAGGAAAGATTTCACAAACTTTTACTAGATCAAATAATGCAAATTTTGTTATCATTGTTGATTGTACTCTTAGGATGAGCTTTATGAATTGAGAAGTTAAATTATCAGGAAAATGGATTAGAATGAAGTTTAGCAAATAAAGAGGGTTAAAAAAAAGACAAATTATTTTAACTACAAATAATTACCTGATAAAAGAGAGATCAATATAATTTCGTAGCTTCTACAACTATTTCGAATTGTGGTGACGTTTTGGCCTCCAAGCATAGCCAAAGGCCAAGCGGACAATCACCGCCGCCAACTCGATCACTACGATCATTCCACCGCATTGCAAGCCGCCTGAAGAATGGTTGAAAAGGCCAGATGATGTGGCGGCTAGGTATCGTAAGCTTTTAAGCCACAGAGTTCGACTGTTTTTGTCACATATTAGCTGCAAACTCAATTTGTTCCTTTTTGAAAAAAAAAAAAAAAAAAATCCCACCCGCCTGTGTCTTTCTCATCAAAATTGTCTATTACAAAATTCGAATCTTAAAACTTGATACAAAAATGTCCAAGAGTTCTCCTCCAACAGAATTTTTTTTCTTTACAAGCTCAAGTTACAAGTTGAATTTTTTTTTTTTTTTTGTGTTTGAGTAATGGTTAATTGATTAAGGTAAATTTTGTCACTAGTCCTATTAACATCTGCTTAAAGTTTGCCTATAATTAATGTTTTCTTTTCTTGCCTATAATTATGTTAGAAATAAAATGATTTTTTTACTAAAGAAAGAGTGGAAACGGATACGAGTTGACAAATTCAATTTTGTTTTGAATGAGAGTTAATTGATTATGTGTAATATCTCACTAGTCAACATCGTACTACTTAATTTTTCTTTTTTTTTTTTAACCTCATACTACTATTTCCTCGTTAAAATGATATGACTACTAGAAGCACAAAATTTTTACGTTTGTGATTGCTCGCAATGGGACTATTGTTCGAGCACCTGAGTTGCCACCAGAAGTATTAATGATGCACACTGGTGATTCTCGGCAAACGCATTTTATTGTTATTTTTTTTTAATTTCCAAAATGCAAACGCATTCTACTGTTTTTTTTTTTAATTTCCAAAATGCCAGTCAACTGTGCCCCTTCTCTTTTCTTTTTTTGGGGTTAAGTAAAATAGTATGAACTCTCCCTACTCCTTTTTTTTTTGGGTTAAGTAACATAATATGAACTCTCACTTGGGCCCTGGTTGATAACCTAATTCAACACTTAATTTTAATGAATTCAAATCTTAACATATTCAAACCATTTGATAACCAAAAATTGAACATCTAAATTAATTAAGTGACACTGAATTTTCTAAGCAAAACTTACTTCCAAAATTAAGTGATAAGCTATTCACTTATCACTGAATGTGATATGCACTCAAATGTATTAAATTTAGGAATATTATCACTTTACGCCCTTAAACTATATCACTACTGTTAGTTTACTCCTTAAGTTATCTTTTAGTCACTTCACCTCCATAACTAATTCAACTCAATATGTTAAGAAATTTTGGACAAAAATACCCTTTTATTCTATAGCATTACTACATTATTATTATCACTTTATCCCTTTTAATTATAATGATATAATCACTTTAAATCCTAACATTATTTTCTAGGTATTTTACCTCATTGTTAATCTAACCAGTATGGTAAAACAAATTTAAATGTATTTACCCTTTTTATATATATAATTATAATTAAAAAATTACAATAGATCCAAAAATATAAAAATAAAAGAATTTTCTCAAATTTTTGTTTTTCACACTTATTAATACTAGAAAATGGAAAATAGATAGGAAAGAAGGAGACAAAAAAAATTAGATTTTACAAAAAAAAAAAAAAAACAAAGAAGAGTCTAACATTGTCGTATTATTTTAAAGTTGTCGGGATTAGAATTGGAATTGAGTAGTAAACAGAAAAGTAAAATAATTTAAAATAATAAAAATATTTAATTCTTTCTTATTTGTATTTTTTTAAAAAAAGAATTAAACTCTCTCTCTCTCTCTCTCTCTCTCTCTCTATCTCTCTCCCTCCCCCTCCCCCTCCCCCTCCCCATCTTTCTATTTTTTTTTTCAATATTAATAAGATTGTCAAGAAATAAGAGATTAATATTTTGACTTTTTTTTCTTAATACTAAAAAGGAGAAAAGTCACTCTAAATTTTCTATTATTTTTACACAAAGATAAGGGTACTTTCTTCTAAAGTTTTTTAACTTGTTAAATTGGTTTAACGGTGGGATAAATTGCTTACAAAATAACTTTAGGGGGTAAATTGATAATGAGACTATAGTTCATAGGGGTAAAGTGATAATAATTTTAAGGGCTAAACATGTTTTTTTATTTTAATCAACAAATTTCGTTAAGTTTAACCGTTAATTTTGGAGGTAAAATGACTAAAATGTAACATTGAGGGAGAAATTAACAGTGACACTAAACATTAAGGGGGTAAAGTGATAATAACTCTTAAATTTAATATTTAATAATTTAATAGCTTAATAAATTTAGATTTTAGATTTTAGATTTTAGATTTCAAATTTTAGATTTCAATTTTATCAAATGCATCCCTTAATTTTACTACGAGGATGAGCTGGTGCACATTAGGAAACAATGGCACATACAAAGTGGAATATTTCATTCTTTGCTTTATATTTCTTCCTCTGGACCCCGCATAGGAAAATATCATGCAGAGAGTATAAATGATATATCTTCAAAAACCTTTGGACAATATTTTCTGCATCCTCTCAGTCTATCCAAAAACAGAGCTCTCGCTTCAAAGTTTCATGGCGATCAGTGGATGCTCATCTACAAACCATTCATCAACTCTTCCCACTATATCCTTCTCTTACTATAGTCCAACTAAATCATGTCATCAAGTTTTCAACAATCTTCAGCTTCCTCCAAGTCATTCTTCCTCTAAGCATGCTCTGAAGTCAACTCCTGAGGTTACATTTGCCACTTCTACAGCTACTCATGAGGGTGTGACACTCACCATTGATGCTGCTAAGGCTGCAAGAGCTGCGGTTGCTTCCGCATTTGAAATTGAGAACTTCTTGGATTTCAGAGAGAGGAAGAAAGATGATGAAGAGAAGAGTTGGAGAAATGGAGTGTTGATGAGGAGGAAGAGGAGAAGAAAAAGGAGAAAGGCTTTTTCAGAGAGTGTGGAGAATGAGAAAGTAATTATGAATGTTGCTATAAAACCAACCAATTCAGGGCAATATTTGACACCTAAACAAGAGGCAGAATATACTCTTTGCCTTAAGGTATGTTCTGCTTTCAAAGCCTGAAACAGGAAAATTTCCAGCAATTCTCAATCTACATTTTATTGGTAAATGGAACATTAAAGTCCTATGCACCTAGCAAAAGACAAAGAAAGAACCTTTGTTCAAATCATATGCATGTTGTAAAAAACTATTTAACAAGCACATAGAGATGGCAAGTGAAACTTGTTTCTTGGTTAGAGTTACAGCATTTGCTCCTTTAATTTAATTTAAGTGTTTAATCAGAAAGTATGTAAATGTTCGTTAAATGAGCGGAGATTTCTGAACATTTTTAGGAAGAGGCAAGAGTTGAAGCTGTGAGAAAGAGAATTGAAGAGACTAGTGAGAATGAAGTCACTTTAGCTCAATGGGCCAAGGCAGCAGGGATGAGTAAAAATTCACTAGATAAGGTTTTGTGTGATGGCAGAGAAGCTCAGGAAAGAATCACAAGATGCTACAGAAGACTTGTAATTTCTGTTGCATCTTCTTATCAAGGCAAAGGGTTGAGCTTGCAAGATCTGATCCAGGTTCCTTTATTTCACTTCTTTAGTCAGCAGTTATCTTCAGTTATTTATATATAAAACCTGCTTTGTCTCCGTGTAGGAAGGAAATCTTGGGCTTCTTCATGGTGCAAAGAAATTCAATCCAGAGAAGGGCTATAAGCTATCAACTTATGTTTACTGGTGGATTAGGCAAGCTATCACCAAAGCGATAGCAAAGAAGTCTAAAATTACTCGGCTGCCGGTAAGAAAATACATACTGTTAAATTCTCTGTTCTTCTACAGGTCCACCTGACCAATTAAATTTGTTCAGCTACTACCCTTCTATTCACCATCACTCATTAATCACTCGTAAAGTTTGTTCTAGTCTGTTTGAAACAGTCAGTCTTCAGCTTGATGTACACAGTTTCTGGCTTTTGCTGAAGCTTTAGTTTGCCTTTTCTCTATTCAGGTTCCTTTTTTTTTTCTTGTTTATTTGCTATGAAACAAATGTCAACACCTGTAATAACATAGCCAGCCAGTTGAGTAACATTACAGATTCATGTAAAGCATTCTTTGCCTGGTTTTTCCATGCATCGATATAGTCTATTTGCACAATCATACTTAATACAGAATCAGCAGCATACATGAGAACATTCCCTAAATTTATCATGGTGCATGCTGTTGTGGACCATAGATATCCAAGATCATTTTGTTCTTGGCTGAATTGAGTGCAATAATTTGTAGTGTATATGACTTTGAAAAGAAAGTTTGTAATTGGTGAATGCAATTAGCCTGTCCTGTGTAGGGAAGCGTAAGTGAACTGGTCCCAAGGATATGCGAGGCAAATGCTGTCTTAAGCAGGAGGCTACGGAAGCTGCCAACATGCCAAGAAATTGCAGAAGCAGTTAAAAGGGACATGTTGACTGTGTGGCTTGCTCTTGAAAGAAACAGAGAGCCAATTTCCCTAGATCAACCAATAGTAGCTGGAGCTTCCATGTCATTGCAGGTTCTAATAAATTTCAGTTTTGTTCTCTTTCTTTTCTCATCGAAACCATGTCCTACGATAAATTCAGTGTGTTATAGGAGACCAAGAAGGTGCAGTTTTCTCCTTCAAAGTCATGATGGTTAGGCAACTGCCTTGCAAAAAACGTTTTAAAATGTCTTTTGCAAGTAAGATCAGAATGAATCGTCAAAACAGACTCAAAGTTCAAGACCAAATCACATTTAAAAAGAACTAGACTCGTAAGAATAGAACATAGCAAACAACATTGGGTACCATACTAGTCTAAAAGAATGGGACAACCTGATATGACAAATTGATTCTCGAAATAAAAACCATTTAACCACACAGTCAAAGCCTTTTTAGGCAAATGATTGAGGACATCTTAACTATTCCTGAAGCAGCCTACAATACAATTCACTCCTTTCTCTAAAGAGGAGTACCGTTCTTTACAAGACTGCAGAACTTAAAGTTTGAATAGCAAATGGATTCGTCCCTTGTCATAGATGAAGGATTAGATCCTTATTGTCCTGATTCTCTCATTTCCTTCTTATTTCCTCTACTGAAGAAATGCTAGAGAAAAGGTTGCCAATAAATGCTTAAAAGGAAATTAAAGACCTTCCAGATCTGAAAGTAACAGTGAGAGCTATAACTTGCAACTGGCAAATTTTTTCTTACATTAGCAGAGATCAGAAAACTAGATGACATTATACTATCATTGGATTCCTTTCAAAAGAAAAGATTGACGAGACAGCCATAGCCTTTTGAAGAAAATGCTTAATGGTTTAGAATCCCATTAAGTAGGAGTCATCAACGTTCATCTACATATTCCTGATGTCCTTTACAACAGTATGAAAAATATCGTTTCAGTGTTGATTCTTACTGCTCCATTTCTCCCTTACCCTCTTTGTCATTTCCCTTGTATAAAACCAACCAAAAAAAAAAAAGGAATGCTTAAAGTGAAAGGATACACTTTGGTTCAAATTATCAGAGTGCAACTATGAGCAGTATCTGTTTATAAGCTATTGAATTTCAATGGTTGCGCAGGAGATTGTAGCAGGGCCAGATGAAACAACTCCAGAAGCAATAGTGAAGAAACAGTTCATGAAGAGGGATATAGAGAAACTGCTCAAGGGACTATGTGATAGAGAAGTAAATATCTTAAGACTGTACTATGGCCTAAATGGGAATACTCCTCAATCATTCGAGGAGATAGGAAGACACCTAGAACTTTCAAGAGAGCGAGTACGGCAGATCAGTTGCACAGCCTTAACAAAATTACGTCAGACTAGTATGGTAAATGATTTGATAACATATATATTGCATAGCTGAATCAGCAGATTACATATATGACAAAATAAAGAACTCAATTGGCAGAAATTGTGGTTCTGCTGTAATTCTTTGAAGAGAATTAAATAGCATTATTTGAAACAAACCAAAAACTTAATTGACCAAAGTGGATTTCTTTTCTCAGTATGGTGGTATCCACTTTTATCTATTGTACCCATCTAGTAGTAAGCATGATCTTTATCCATAGCTGTTTCATTTATGAGATAGTAGCTGGTAAATAATCAGAACAACCTATAGCCTGAAGTGAAGGTTTCCTAATCAACAAGCGGACTGCAATTACTGCAATGAGCAGGAATGCGTGTATTAAGCTAGCTGTGATAATCAAATCATTTGTCTTCCACTTTGTGATGTTGGTCACATCTTTACTAAATGCACGACAATGACGAAGATTTACCTGATATAAATATTCCATCTTGAGCTATTCATACAAGTAAAATGGTAGCCGGAGGATTTTGCCTTTTCAGATCAAACAGGGAAAAGAAAATGCATGTACCTTCTCAGAAATAGTTTCATGTATAAATTATAACTGTCTAATTTCATCTCTAAACAAATTTACGTCAGAAATTTTATTTTAGCATCTTGTACGTGGAAGAGATCCCCCATGTGTCAATACGTAAACACTCTTGTATGTGTTAGAAGCTGCAGAAAGCTTCTGAACAATGGTTTCAAATTAGTCAAAAAGTAACTCCTCTTTCGTCATTCTCTTTCCCCAGCACAGACATCCAAATGATAAACCAGAGGAGTTATCCAAATTACTCTTCCCCTTCTTCACTCTCCCGACGGACTGCATCAAATTGATTTATTAAAAGGTCTACAACCAAGGGTACCAAATCATCACATGGAACTCCCTTCTTATAAACTTCTCCTAAATGTGAATCACTGCCAATTCTCCCTCCCAAGAACACATCAGCACCTTCGACTGGCTTTCCATTTTTATCTCTTGTCATGCATCCCATGAATCCAATATCTGCAACTTGAACCTGTCCACAGGAATTTGGGCAGCCAGTCCAGTGCATTCTTACAGGCCGAGTGACGGAAACTTGGCGCTGAACCTCCTCTGTGATCTTCAGTGCACGAGCTTTAGTCTCTATTATTGCCTGCCCACAGAACTGATTGCCAGTACAAGCTACCAAGCCTCTCATGAGAATAGGTGGTTCTGGAGAAAACCTGTTCTTTAAAAGAGGCTCTTTGAGCAATGCCTCAAGCTATGAAGACCAACGAAGCTATAGCTTTCCTGTTTCTGTGGATGGATACCAAGATAATCTCTCCTCTCCCATTGCTTTCGAACCAGGTCTTCAGATGATGCTCTCTCTAGCTCTTGTTGGGGTATCCTCTTAACCACCTGATCTGTTCAGCAAAATTTGCATTTAACTGCAGTAACTTATTAATGATGTTCTGAATGAAAAGAGAATGAAATGCTCACAAGTTCATCAATCAACCACATCATTCTTGTTTCTGCCTGTTCCCCCTAGTACCAAGATGTCTGAAAGTTTCCAGTATTGCTTTACAAACAGGTATTATATCGTCTCCTGGAACCCATGCATCAAGAGGGATTGCGTCTGCACAACGTTTGGGGCTAAAGAATCCACCCACCAGTAAATTGAATCCAAATCTTCCATTTTTAGTGGCAGGCATATAGGCAAGATCATTTATGTGAGGGTGCTCGTAAAGATCATGAGAGCCAATTACGCATACATTCCACTTCCTTGGCTATATTTTTTAAAGACAGAATTAAATTGGTAGAGATAATACATGTGGGACTAAATTGCTTAAAACTTCAAAGATAAAGGACCGAAATGGTCATTTTTCCGATTAAGGCCCAATGCGTTGACTTATCCACATTATGTTAACACGACTACTGGTTCTAAGGACCAATTTCACATGGCCCAAGCTTGATGCAATCAAAATAATAGGCTATTGAACTTAGGACACAACCAAATAAATAAGCCCTCTTTGATAATCTAATTTATCATTTAAATTTAATAAAATTTAAATTTAATATGTTCAGATATATTTGATAACAAAAAATAGAACATATGAATTAATTAAGTGATATTAAAATTTTTAGGCAAAACTTGCTTTAAAAAATAAATGATAAGTTATTCACTTATGACATACACTGAAATGTATCAAATTTAATATTTAACGATTTAGTAATTTAATAAATTTATATTTCAAATTTTAGTTTTCAAACTTCAATTTTATCATATACATCCTAAGTAAATAATAATAAATAACTAGAAGCACATGGGCTTGGTTTAATATTTGGGATAATTTTAGAAACCTCACCTGAGATTTCTCATGATATTACTCAGTTCCTCTAAGGTTTTTAAAATCTTACTTACTTCCCCTGTCAATTTGATAAGATCAAATATCCCTATCAAAGGTCACGAATTGACAATGTTACCCTTGCTTTTAATAGCTATTTAACCAAAGAGCCAAAACAAAATAAAAATTTTAAACCAACAAATATAAATTAAAAAATAAATATCAAGGTCATGGTGGGACAACAAAGAATGTAGATAAATTAAATCTAGTCAAAGTTAACTATTTACAAGGATTTTGGTAAGTAACTAACACCTTAAAAAATTTTATGGGCAGTTATAATGAAATCAATAAATTATTTAAGAAATATGTTTTAATACATGGTGTAGTTTAAGTTGTACTAAAAAATAAAATAATCTCCTCATATGTGTAGTTTGTAATATAAGTCCAAGTTATAGAAAAACTTTATAAATAAGTCAGAAATTAAAAAATAATCAAAAAATGATCTAATGACTAAATATATATTTAGGAATATCCTTGTTTTGTTTGGTTAAACATCATGCATTATATTAGATAATAGTTGTTGTATATCTGTAAAATTACTCATTATTGCATTTATCTTTCTTGTATTTCCTTCGAAGGGGCTAAATGTTATAAGAAATGTCAATCTAGGGAGGTATACGAGATTTTAAAAACCTCAAGAGCGTTGACTGATATTATGCAAAACGCTAGGGAGGTTTCTGAAATTATCCCTTTATATTTCCTACAAATTTAGTGTACGCATTCATCGTCCACCACAAAAGTAGCTCGAGCAATAGTTTTTAGACAATTTGGGATGGTTCAAATTCCCAGCTTCCTTGCACTTTCGCTGATTACACCAGCTGCAGAAACAGAGACTCACTGAAGAGGAGAAATGAGCGGAGAAGGGAAGGTGGTGTGCGTGACTGGAGCTTCGGGATACATAGCTTCATGGCTAGTCAAGCTGTTGCTTGAGCGTGGCTATGCTGTTAAAGCTTCAGTTCGTGACCTCAGTAAATCATTCATGCTCTTTACTGCTTTTGGTTTCTTCTCTGAACTCTTTCTTGTGTCCACCCAATACATTTCACCTATCAAATTTAGCGTTCAATGAATTGTTCGGGTAAATATTTGAGAAATTTAGCATCCCTTTAATTGGTAGTTTGTTTTTGCATGATGACACAGATGATCCAAGAAAGACAGAATTCTTGGAGGCACTGAATGGAGCCAAGGAAAGACTTCACTTGTTCCAGGCAAACTTACTAGAAGAGGGATCCTTTGATGCAGTGGTTGATGGATGTGAAGGCGTTTTCCATGCTGCATCTCCAGTTCAACTTTCAGTGAGCAATCCGCAGGTACATTTCAAATGATGATCAAATTTTGAAAAATTTGAATTTCAACTAATAATAACTATATGCCTCTTAACATTCGTAATTCTTCACATGCTTAAATAATTGTTATGTGGCTAGTTAGTTACTGAAATGGTCTAATTCCTTTATGTTCCTCAGTTACAAAATTGTTGTGTACTAGAAGTCTCAAGTGCAAAGAGAATGAGTATTCTAGTTTCTCAGCAGCCATATGGATGTTGCCGACAAAATCGTAGTACTCAAAGGGCATCCTGCAAGTCTCTGTTTCTATGTTTCTGTTTTTGTGGATTTCCTCAAGTAACTTACAGGAACTTCAAGTCTTAATCGAGTGTTTAGAGTAATTAGGATGAACGATATCTGTAAAATAAGCTGTCATCCAGAAAAAAGTTCAAAAAGGACAACAGTTGGATAACATTAGAACTAGTATAGTCTCAACAGTGTGATGCATACACTATATATAAAATGGTATTGATAACAATTTCTTAGGCAATGATTTCACTCCTTTTCTATGGGTTAGTGCATAATGGAGCTTATGAATTACACAAATCTGTAACGACTTCATCCCCACCCCCCTTTTTTGGCTGTTAATTTCTTAGGCACAGCTATTGGATCCTGCAGTGAAGGGAACGCTGAATGTGCTACAGTCTTGTGCCAAAGTTCAATCTATCAAAAGAGTGATTTTAACGTCTTCTATTGCAGCAGTTGCTACCAATGATGAATTAAAGGACGGTGTCATAGTTGATGAAAGTTGGCTTTCAAATCCATTATATTGTGAGGAGCACAAGGTGTGTCTATCTGCTATTTTCAGTTAAACTGCCTGAGGAAATGCTTGCTGTTTGTTAGATTCGACGGTAATCAGCCCAATCGCCTGATTGGCTGACACAGTTCTTCTGGTCGATTCAATTTGTTTATGAAAGATAGTAGTATCACTAATGAGGCTATAAGTATTGAAAGCACTTGCAATAATTGGTTTTGTTAGAATCCAAACGCGGAACACGTGATTATTGAGATATCAAGTATATAATAATTTAATGATTAACAAGCCACAAGCATGAAAGATAAACGACACTTAATATTAAACGTGGTTCGATTCCACCATTAAATCTATGTCCATGGAGAGAAATCTATTCTTTATTATGAAAGGGAAAAAAAATCATATACAAGAATACAATTTCAATTCAAACCCAATCATTGTATACCATCTCTCATCAACCCTCCCTTACACCCTATGTATAAGGCTACATGTCGTCTTTATGCGCTCTTGTGTAGTATGCCAATCCACTTATTTATAGAGAATATTATTTGGCCAAGAAACCAAATAATAACAGGAAACTAGTACTAATTTCTAAACTTACACAGAATGGGAAATAACTTTTAAATTCTAAATAAAATAGAAAATTTCTTGGTTACTACTTCAACTAACTAAAATTAATTAGGAAACTAATTACTTCTACACAAAACAAAAAATTTGCCTAAAAGAAATTAAACCAATTCCTAACAAATCTCTATCTTGACGAATATTTCTTTTAACAATCATTTATCTTCAATTACCAAATAATATGGTACTGAACTATACATCCGAATCAATACAGTCTTGACACCAAATTGATTCAATCGGTAAATGAACATGTGTAATTATTTCGAATCCAACCTCTAGTTGACTTGGGAGAATGTGTCTCAATTCACCATCTCCCTTTGCAGGATTTCTTCTCACTATCACTTGCAATTCGATATTTCCTTCTGTGAATTCTATTTCTAACCATTGAGGCAATTAAGTGGTAAAATTACTATATTTCTTTCCATTTTCAGGACTGTTTTGACACGTGTGATTTTTAAAACTCCACCTAAAACGAAAAACTAGTAACTGTTAGAGTCTTCTGGAGTATGAAAATTAGATCTCTTAGTTCTTTAGAACACATGTCACACCACCTAAAGAACATAATCCGAATCTAATAATCATTTGGGATGAAATATCAACCGATAGAGTTGTAAGAATATCTCTACCAGTTCATGTCCAAAATCAATATTGGATTTCACCTTTTTTTTTTATCCTTGAATCACCTGACTAAATTTACTGTCAAGTATCTCCATGCTTTTCGACTTTCCATCCTTCACGTTCAATGCTTCTTGTTAAACTCTTGAAACAAGGATATCACCCATTAAATTACCCAATTGGTAATAGTCACCAACCCACTTGATCTCAGTAGTTAACCAGAATCCAATCACGAACCCCGTTCTGATACTAGTTGGGATTTAAGTGTTTGTGAGCAATTCAGTCTCGGAACTAAACTCTGATACCACTTGTTAGGATCCAAGCACGGAATACGTGACTATTGAAATATCAAGTACACAACAATTTAATGATTAACAAGCCACAAATATAAAAATAAACGACACGCAATATTTAATATAGTTTGACTCCATCATTGAACCTACGTCTACGGAGATAAACATATTTTTTATTATGAGAGAAAAAAAATCGTATACAAAAATACAACTTTAACCTAAACCCAACAATTTTATACTATTTCTCATCTCTCAAGAATCCTCTCTCACACCCCATATATAAGGTTATATGTCGCCCTTGTGTCTCTCTTGTATAGTATGTCAACTCACCTATTTATAGAGAATATTATTTGGCCAAAAATCAAATAATAACATGAAACCAATACTAATTCCTAGACTTATATAGAATAGGAAATAACTTCTAAATCTTAAATAAAATAGGAAATTCCTTGGCTATTACTTCAAGTAACTAAAATTAATTAGAAAACTAGTTACTTCTACACAAAACAAGAAATCTGGCTAAAAGAAATTGACAGAAGGCTCTACAGTTAAATATTCATCACGCTGATAACACATCTTCTCTTAAAAGGCTTAGCAAAAGAGCCCTTACCATGCTCACCCATCGCAAAAGCACCTCAGCCTTTGTGAGTAGAAGATACTTAACAAAAGATAAAGTAAAGAAAACAGAAGAAAGCAACGGAGACGAAACTTTCCTATTGCTAGCATTGCTAGCTATTTGATGGCATCAACAAAATCAAAACGCTAAAAGCGCGCAACAGATTGATAACAGACCAAAAGAATGTGTTTTATAGATGAAAGAAGTGTGGGATTACTTCGAAGCCAAAAGGTATATTACTATGGAATGAATATTGGAATGCTTGCTTGAGAAGGCTTATTGACATATGCACAAAGAAAACGTCACGCTGCTGAAAATGTTAACTTTAGTTTCTGTTTTGTTGTTTACTCGAGTGCTAAGAAATCAAAACAGTAAATTTAGCAAGTAATCTGCCAATAATTATAATCATTCGATGCGATCAACTAACATTGTCTGGAGGGAGAAAAATTAACCTTGTTTAGAGCCATGTATACTTCAAAAATAAGCCCCATTTCTCCAGAGTAGAAGGATTTAGAGAATGTGACTGGATGGTCTCCCAAGTGTCTAGAAAATATACTTTTCTAATGTTCGACTTGAAGAATTATGCTCTCAACTAAAGCTACCAAATATGTTCTCTCTTTTCAGTTATGGTATCGACTATCAAAAATTTTGGCAGAGAATGCTGCTTGGGATTTCTCAAAGGAGCATGGTATTGACATGATTTCAATTAATCCAGGAATGGTCATTGGTCCATTCTTGCAGCCTTCTGCCACTTTGAGTGCAGAAGTGATCTTGAGCCTAGTAAATGGTATGTTAAGAAATTTATCATATTGTTAAGTAGTCAATCTACAGAAAGTTTCTTCTACACAATTAAAACAAAGAAGCCGTGGTTGACTCTGGTGAAGTTGTGAGCCTGCTCATTTTGTATTACAGAAAAAATATACATTGCACACAATAGGTATGCATTATTGGGCATCATATGTAATCTTTTCAACTCCTTTTATTTGATTATGTAATGCACATGAATACAAACAGGTGAGCGCATATGTCTAGTTGCTTGGTATACAATCATATTGTCTAAAGAGCTTGCTACCAAATTCTTCTTTGGAACTTACCTGTGTCAGCATTTCTTCACTGCCAAAGCTTTGGAAGTTCAATGTGAATTAAACAAAAACATCTGCTTCAGTTATACGAATTATTTACTTTGAGGTAGTCGCATAGGACTTGGAGGCTTTTCATTTGAAACACAGTTTAGCAGTTGAAAGACTTCTTATAGCAGACGATATACGAATTGGAGCTTGTTGTGGTGGCTTCTAAAGCTTTCTTACAAGATAGAGTAACCAGTTTGAGTACTAGTTCGTTGTGATCTCTAGTCTCTGCAGATTTTGCATAAGTTACCTGCCAATCTGCTTGGTTTTCGTGACTTGATCATTTTCCCATGCAGACTCTCTCAGACCACAGCGTTATTTACCCGACCTGGTTTCTCACGTTCCCTCTTCTTTTATATAGTTTTTGGGTTGTAAAATGTCCAGAAAAATGAAGTAAAATACTTCATGTTAAATAGAAATTTGTCACATTTGACTATTTACGTCTCTCTTTAAGTATCCTGACTTTACAAGTAATGATACTCGTCAATATGGTAAGAGATGTTATCCCTTTTACTGTCGAATGCAGGAATTGACCCATTCCCTAATATGATTATACCATGGGTTGATGTTAGAGACGTTGCATATTCACATATTGTTGCCTTTGAAATCGCTTCTGCCAGTGGAAGATATTGCGTAGCTGAGAGAACTGCAGGCTGCTGTGAGCTTATCAAGATTCTGACTGAACTCTTCCCTAATCTCCAATTGCCAGATAAGTGAGTCTGGTTTTCCTTCTCCGTTACGCCACACTGACGTCTTTGCATGCTTTAGCTGATTGCTTGCAGCTCCAAAATGTATCTCATCTTTTGGCTTCTTTCTCAACATGATAAAGAATACTGCATCCTTCTGTACCATTTTAGTAGTATTAAGGGACTGATTTCTGATAATTTTATAGGCCTAAATCCTAATCCTGGTTGATGCATGATGTTTTTGCTGTTAAGAATCATTAGCTTCTTCTCTGGATCCTAATCCATTAGAATGCAAGATGGACCTTGGCATAACATTGGGTAGTAATTAGTAAACTACCTCACTTTCTCAACATGTTTTTGCTGCATTCTCACTTTTACCTCATTTTTTTTCCTGTTCTGAAATGGTTTTAACCTTTTGCAGATGTTCTAATGGCAGTCCACTAATTCAGCTGAAATATGATGTATCAAATGAGAAAGTAAAAGGTTTGGGCATTGAGTTCATGCCTTTGGAGGTGAGCCTCAAGGATACTATCGAAAGCTTCAAAGAGATGAAATTAGTCAGCCTTTGAATCATGGCATTCATGTACTGTCATTAACTTGAAATTGTTTATATCCAAGTTTGGAAAACATACAATTTCAAACTTTTTATTCTTGTTTGTACAAGGTACGCGATGGAGATTATATATAAAGTTGCTAAAATGTAAACAAAAAGGACAGAACTGGTACGAGCATGAATAGGCTGCTCCATAAGGAAACAATCAGAAAGACATTTTGGTATATCTGAACAGATAATAAAAGCATAGCACCTCATTATTGACCATTTCCTCAAATTTTATTGTAATCTTTTTTGGTAATTTTCACCCATATATTCAATTTTTTGTGCTTTGAAAAATTCTAATCCTTAAGGGAACAATTTGTACTTATGTCTCCAAATTTGTTGGGATAGCTCACTTGTGTATTTGATAAAACTGAAATCTAAAAATTGAAATCTGAAATTTGTAATCTAAATCCATTAAGTTAGTGAAATATTATATACTAAATCTGATATATTTAAGTGTACATTTTTGGAGCAAATTTTGCCTAAAAAATTTAGAACCATTTAATTCATTCAGATGTTCTAGTTTTGGTTATCAAACGTATTTGAACATGTTAAGATCTGAATCTATTAAATTTAAGTGTTGAATTGGATTATCAAACGGGGTTCAAAAAGACTTTTAGTTATATTTAAATAGATAATAAAAGCATAGCACCTCATTATTGACCATTTCCTCAAATTTTATTGTAATCTTTTTGGTAATTTTGTGCAATATTTTTAATTTTTTGAGCTTTGAAAAATTCTAATGCTTAAACAAAATTTTCGGTCACACTAAGACAGAAATAAAGGTCAAGTCTTTCCAAAAATAAATTTTTGCCCTAGTCATTGTCAAACTTATTTGTAAGAATCATTATCTAACTGGTGCTCATAGGATACTCGTTAAGATATATTTCATGTGTCATATTTTTAGAAATGTAAGATTAATTAGGGAAAGTAAATAAATACAAGATAAAGTAAGTAAAATTAAATAGAAAAAGTATATAAATGCAAGCAAAGATAATAATTATTAGTATGTGTATATACATTGTAAGTTAGATAAATATTAAGTGTGTTAATAAGTGCCTTATGAGCAAACGTTACAAAAACTCTTGATTTATTACTTGTTACAAAATGAGAGCAACTTGAAAATAGGATCAAGACAAGTATCAAAGTATTTAAGTGGAGAACACTTTATGATTGTTTTCTTCTTTTTTTTTTTTTGTCAAAATTTATGATTGTTTTCGAGATTACAAAATCTGCATGATTAGTAAGGCAGATATTAACAGTCGTGTATGCATTTTCTTTTTTTTTTTGTGGGATAATTTGAGCTTTAGTATTCCAAGCTAGCTTTAATTAGGGATGGTAATTTCTAACACGACCTGAAAATACGATACAAACCTAATACGAAATTAATTATAGTAGTTTAGTGACAGTTTCTTAAAATATATGATGAACTAACTAACATCAAATCATGATTTGTTAGGAGAAAGAGTAGGTTTGTTAGCAAGATGATTAGGCGTAGCTCCAGAAACCACAAGTTATTTCTAACCTCATGTTCAATTGATTAAGATAAGACCAAGATTATCAAACTTTTCTCAGTTATGTGATACTTTTACAGAAATCTGTCTCATTAAGATAGATTATCAAGTCCACAAGTGTAATTCCTTTTACCACAAAAAAAAAGAAAAAGAAAAAATTCGGAGACAATTACCCAAGTTGATTTTTATTTTAAGCTTGTGCTTCTAACTTTTAATTAGAAAAACGAATAAAAAAGCTACCCATGTACTCCTCTTTCTTCTCATACATAGGCAAAAATGGGCTTTGTTAAAATATTTTTGTTATGTTTTCACTCTATTCGAGTTAAATTTCAGATAGAAGATTATTTGAGAATATTTTTTTTGGAATACTACAGTACTGGAACACATTTAATAATATAATGTATATGAAATAGAAAAGTAGTTAAAAAGATAAAATGGTAAAGAAAATGTATTTATGTTGTAAGTACAAAAAAATTTTCCAATAAAAAGCTATCCAAACACTCCCAATATTATTCAAATTCTACACTTTTGTTTTTATTTTTAATATATTGAGACCATTTTACTTATGCAATCATCAAGGATATAATAAAAAAAAAATTAAAATGTGATTGTCACGTAGTACTCCAATTTTAGCCTTATATATTGTGTAGATAATTTTTTTCTTTTTCAGTACATGAGAGGTGTAACATTGTAAGTAGTCCAATGACGGGAAGTTGCTAAAGTAGTCTTTCACAGTTTGAGGGCATTTTAATTTAGTTCCCAACATATAAAACAAAGTATTTTCGTTGTTGACCAAAAATTAAAACAAAGTGATCCATATATCATTTCGAAAACGTATCAATTATTTTAGCCACATAGGGGATCAAATTAAGGTCCATTTTTTTTTAATGAAGTACCTCAAATTTTGGAAACTATGGTCCCTTTTCTCGAAGTCATCGATCGAGCAATAATTAGAGCATAATGTAAAGTTATAAGCAAGTACCTTAGTTAGGAAAGATTTCACAAACTTTTACTGGATCAATGCAAATTTTGTTATCACTGTTGATTGTACTCTTAGGATGAGCTTTATGAATTGAGAAATTAAATTATCAGGAAAATGGATTAGAATGAAGTTTAGCAAATAAGAAGGGTTAAAAAAAAGACAAATTATTTTAACCACAAATAATTACCTGATAAAAGAGAGATCAATATAATTTCATAGCTTCTACAACTACTCCAAGCATAGCCAAAGGCCAACCGGGCAATCACCGCCACCAATTCCATCAATACGATCATTCCACCGTATTGCAAACGGCCTAAAGAGTGGTTGAAAAGGCCAGAACATGTGGCGGCTAGGAATCTTAAGCTTCTCCAAGAGTCCTTAGCAGAATTTCCGACCCAGTGGTTTGCAAACTCAATTTACTAATTATCTAATAAATACAGCGATTTCTTTACAAACTCAATTTACATGTTGAAATTTTTCGCGTTTGAGTAACAATTAAATTTTTTTTTATCAAATCGCAACATCTAACCTAACTTGGCGAGAGGTCTAACGAGACCTAGAAAAATCGAAAGAAACTGAACTACTATCGACCTAAATAGGTACACTACGCATCTCTATACATTTAGAAGAAATTACATATAATGACACATTGATGAGAAGCAAATTCAAATCTTGGCGGTGATTAACTGTCCAAAGATTTAAAATTTTAGATTTTTTGATGATGACCAACTACCCCACAAAGACTTAAAGTCTTTGGTGGAGTGACCAACTGCCCAAAGGGCCGTTGGTTGAGCAACAGTTAGTTAATTAAGGTAAATTTTGTCACTAGTCTTGTTAATGTCGTGCTTAAAGTTTGCCTATTTATTAGTAATGCTTTTTTGCCTATAATTTTCTTAGAAATAGATTGATTTGTTTGCTAAAGAAAGAGAGGAAATGGTTACAAGTTGACAAGTTCAATTTTGTTTTGAAAGTCAATTGATTATGTGTCATTTGTCACTGGTCAACATCGTACTACTTAATTTTACTTTTTAGCTCGTATTACTATTTCCACGTTAAAATAATATGGACTTCTGGAAGAACAAAATTTTTACGTTTTGATTGCTCGCAATTGGACTATTGGCGTGGGTACCTTAGTTACTACTTGCTACCAAAGTATTAATAATATATAATGTTGTGTCACCTTAAGCAGGAACCAGCGTTTGTAGTCCAACGGTTAGGATAATTGCCTTCCAAGCAATAGACCCGGGTTCGACTCCCGGCAAACGCATTTTACTGTTTTGCGTAAGTTCAAAAATGCCAGTCAACTGTGCCCCTACTCTTTTTTTTTCCTTTTTTTTTATTTAATATTGGCTTAAGTAACATAGTATGAACTCTCACTTATATTTACTATGAGGATGAGCTTGTGCAAGTGGAGACACAATGGCACACCAACAAGTGTGTGTTTGTGTTCTGCTGGATACAAATTGGCATATTTCTTTCTTTGTTCTATATTTCTTCCTCTGGACCCCGTTTAGGAATAAGGCGCAGGTAAATAGACAAAATTTGGATCCACAGGTGTATTGAACTTATACTTTATCTGAGTAGTTTAGTAGCAGCAAATTACTTCAGCCGGTGCTTCCTCATGTAATTTTAGTGGTTGTTAATGCAGAGTTGGTGTATTGCCTGTAATATCGCAGGGAAGTCTAAAGAGCCTCTTAGTTTCACTATAAGGTTGAGAATTGCGTTAGGTACAGGCAAAGGAATCCTCTACCTGCATACAGAAACTGTGCCCCTACTTGGTAATAAACTTTTGGTATAATGGGCTTAAAGCACAAAAACAGAAATAATGCAGTTAATGATTTAAAGGTTGCGGTGTTAACTAATTATATACATATGAATGTACTATGCAGCGAAAATTTAAATACTCTTATCTCTAACCATTGTTGCCAAGCACAAGTTAATCTTTTCTAGTGTCTTTGATTTCTTCTTGTCTACTCTAACAAAACAAAATGTGTAGAAGAAGGAAAAGTAGAAGGAGAATTTAGAGTAAGGATCTTCTAATCTATGTCTAACCCAAAAGTGTATTATTGATGGAACACCACAGACTATTTATATGTTAGGCTAGGGACCCTTACTAGCAAATACAAAAATTTTTGAGATTTCCTTCCACTAAGGAAATCTTGTCAAAATTCATAACTGAAAATAATATTTTCTGACTAATTGATTGATTTGATTGATCAACTGATTAAACAAGATATCAATCAAAGATATCAATCAATCATTAACAAATGAGAGATACTAATCAATTAACCAGGATATCAATCACCAATCATTATCTAATGGGAGAAGTTACTTAATTATTGACAAAATGTCAATCAATTAATTATGATATCAATCACTTCAGAATCAATCATGTGGGTCATAATTGTTTCAAAAGGAGACAAGTTTTATATTCTCTCACTTGACCCATATGAAATAGTCAGATAACTTATGAGTGACTAACTACTTAAAAATGGCCATAAACCTTGTTTGTCACTCACCAAGTTCAACAGTTATGTAACATTTGCTTAATTAGAAAATAATAATACACAAATCATGACAGTTATACTTTCATGGCAAACACTTCCTTCCATGTAATCAACAAGTTGAGTGATTAAAGATATCAATAATTAATCAATGTAATCAAAGATATTATTGTAATTAAAGATATCTTCCATGCAATCAAAGATATCAATCAATCATTAAAA